GACCTTATCAGAAGGTGGGTGTGGAAGAAGGAGTAAAGCAATCACAAGGCACTAGAATCTTTATTACTTTGCAATTCCAGACTGATCAATTTACAAGGTGCCTGAAATCACAGGGGAATCGTATTTTCTAAAAACTGGACTTTTTCCTGTCTGCATTGCTTTTCCTGTACCTGCTTTCCCCCAGCAGGTTGTAACAGCTATATCTAAAATCAATTTGATATACATAAATATCCCTGAGGAGAAAGCTCCTATTTTGTAGGTCAGGAAGCTTAATTTATACTCAGGCCTATCCTGAGGGCGAGTATTGCCTTTTGCATGGGTAGGGAGAAGGCAGTAGCCTGCTGGAGGAGGAGGCCTTCCATGCCTAGGAAAACTATGAATGTAGAACTGTCCTGTGAAACAGAAAGTTATACAAGATGTTAAACTGGTCTATCAAATAAACTACTTCAGCAGGTAACATTTAGCAACCTTTTCTGCAAAGACAGGCTTTGCTGTGTTTTATTTGGCTTTACCATGTATGCCATTTCTCTCAGAATACTTCTGCATGGTGTGACTTTTTCGTACTTTAGCAATACTTTATGCTGTACATATGATTTCTGAAATATTAACGTGTTTCTTTGCACTGTCAGTGTTTCTTAGTGATAAGACCGTAGAAATCAGCAACACCAGCACACCTTGCTATGATGACAGTAGTCATGCATTTTCGTCTCTTGCCTAATGACTGCCTTATTCCAAGCATGTTCTCTACAGCTGCCTAAAGCTCAGCATACATTCAGGGCTCCAAATTGTGAACCACCATTATTCATAGTTGAAATTGCAGTTTGTGCAAATCTGAGCTAAGTTGCAATCATTATAGGTAGTAAAATAGATTGAAATATCTGTAAATCTGAAGCCTGTAGCTGGCTCTTTTTAATCAGAGGAACTTGTTAAATTTTCCCATGCTTTGATTTCTCTTTCTTAGATATTTCTGCCAGAAGTGAGGCAGTTCGGTGTTCAGCATTCCTGCTTCTAATTTGAAATGCTCAGTTTGGGGTATAAAGTGAGCAAAACGGTACATGTTGTCTTTAATATATGAGAGCAAGATAGTGATTTTCTCTTGCTTTTTTCAACCCTTCATAATATTTTTCTATGATACTTGAATAGTGTTGAAGACAAGGATACCGTATGGTCTGAGGTTATTCTTCAGAAATACTCTCTTAAAGCTCCTTATTTGAAAATCATGAACTAAATGATGTAATGACTTTCAAATTCCTCCTTCCTATATCATTTTCTGCATTGAATCAGTTGACAATTGAGGAAATACTTGTATGTAGAAGTGTGAGAGGGAAAAAATCCTTTGCTGTTGTGTATACTGCCATAAATAAATGAAACTCCATTAAAGAAAATGGTTCACAAAGAAATGAATGTGAGCTAATTTTAGTCACTGTATAACGTCGCAGCCCTGTGGGAAAGAATGATGTCTGTCCACCTGTTTTCTGTTGTTTCTGTTTCCTATCTTGGTCTAATGTTTATCAAAACAGAAAACCATGTTTTTCACTTTGCACACCAATTTATTTAGGGCTAGATGTTCTTACTGGCAGTCTCTTGTATTTTGTGTCTTTGGACATATTTCCATTGGTTAACAGGGCTGGTTCGTTCGTTCTCATACCAATGGTGTCCCTACAGCAGGGATTCATTTTGACTGTTTTGCCGCAGGGCTCCGTTGGTCAGCCTGATTGCTATATCATATGATTCTGTGCAACAGAAACCCTGCTTTTCCCTGCCTGAATAAGTACTTATGTGGTTATGGCTCCTCTTCCATTTCTCTCTGCAAACACGCCTTCGAGGTGGCTTGCCTTGCCCTCTACACTCTTGTTTCGCTTTGATTTTTGTGGCTTACATCTTGCTTTTGCTATGTTTCCTTCTGGACTATGAAAGAGAATGGAATGTGCATATGTGGGGAAAAAAGAGAAGTCTGGAAATACCTGAAACTAATAATAACAGTAATAGTAATAAGAGGACAGAATGTAAAGTACATGATATTACATGAAGAGGAAAAACTTTGGTAACTGTTGATGTTGAAAAGAAAATGGAACTACATGTAATACTGCCTTTTAGTTAAAAGATGATTGCTTATGACTATAATCTTGGGATCAGCAGCTTGGTTTCAGGAGTTATCAGGCAGATAGTAACATCAGCTGTTGTTTTCTGAAGTCCAGAAGGCATTCATAAAATATTGCACCGTTGGTAATGAAGTAGATGTTTTTTATCATGATGCTGTAGGAAACAGTAAAATGAGGTCTCAAAAATTTAAAATGCTTAAAAAGAAACATTTCTACTCATAATGAGCAATTAAGTTATTCCTTGCCTAGCTCACACTTTTGCATTCAAAATCTCAGTCACACACCATCTACAAATACCTTCTAAAGAGATTCCACTGTTGTTTTGTGAGGTTTTTTTTCAGTATTTTGTTTTTTACCAATGAGTAAAACTCATGTTTTCACGCTTAGAGCTGTCTTAAAGATGTACAGAAAAGGTCTCCAGAGAGGGACAGGGCAGGGAAATTTCTCTATCGGAGGGTCTGTTTGGTACTTGTTTGTTATGGAGTCTCTGGCATTTCTCAGTACTGCATCCAGTAATAAATGCTGCCTGTGAAAGCATGGGGACTTCCCTGCCTGCTTATGGAAACAACTCAGCTCCCATCTCTTTAGTTGCACACTAATATGTAATTGCTTCAGCCTTACAATGAAAGGAAAAGGGAATGAAAGCCGACCAGGAAAATTAAAAAGTTCTCTCTGAAAACCCTAGTGGATGTGCCCGCGGAAACTCTGACTGAATGTTCGCCTTCTTAATAAAACTGCATTGGTCCTACTGTCATCAATAAGAAAAAACGCTGTCATTCTTCACCTGGATTCAGATGGTTCTTTATGGGGAGATTTTGATAGTAAGTGAGAAACTTGCAGTTGTTGCCAGCAAAATTTCAGACTAAATAATTACAGCTTTAGAAAAGGGTAACTAAATGCCTGATAGTAATTTGTTACTAAGGGGTCACAGTAAGCTTTTGAATAAATGAGGACACCTTTTAAATGGTAGAACACAGGAAGGTTAGAGATGAAATTTCGCTTTCTTTGCCAGTGAGAAATATGGTCAATCTTTGCCATTTTATTCTGTCTTTTAAAGTAGCTCGGTATTTTATGATGATTTTGGCTAATTCATTGTGTATAAGACAATTCTATTTCTTCTAGGGGCATAAGAAAAAATGCAACTTCCCAAGACAGTTTTGTTCTGAATTTTGCAACCAAAGAGTACTCCATTTAATTATTTTTCCTAATTTTAATACTAAACTGATAACAATACATGGAAGTTGCTGTAAGTCTGTAACTATTCTCTTAAAAATATAAAAACCCAGGAAGTTGTTGCTAATTACTGCTAATATTCCTTAAACGGGCCTTCTCAACAGGACAAAATGGCAAAGTAATGGCTGTTTGCACAGGAGGAAACACATTTTGCCAGTAACTGCTCAGTGTCCCATGCAGCTGTCTAAGAGTCGTGTGTGACACAGGGCCTGTTCTCTCTGACTGGCTGCACTAGTCTTCTAGTCTGAGTAATTGGCTCTGCTCTGCAGGAGACAGACTCTAGCTGGCATTTAACCCCAGACTTTTACCAAGGCACGCAGCTGAGGACTCTAATTTAACATAGCACTGCTTGTCCTGGGATGTGTGAATAAACACCCTTGCGCTGGCTTTGGACACGGCCATTTCAGGTACCTGGGCGCTGCCGCAGCCTGAGACAAGCACTGGCTGCAAGATCTCCTGAGGCAGTGGGTGCTGACAGATCCTCGGGCCCTGCTGCCCATCGCAGCCACGGCACTGTGTGCTTCTGGATGTGGGGCTGTGGCCTTGCAGGTGCTGTGGATGCCTGCCGCCATCCCACAGCAGATAGCAGTCCTCAGGCTTCAAGGTGGGGCTCTGGGGCTGCCATCAGTGTAGGCCCAGCCAGGCTGAGGGCTGCACCTGCCTAGGGCTGCAGCAGCAGGCCACCCGTCGGAGCTGTTTTCTGCCTGAAAAACAAGGAAGTGTTTCCTCTGCTGATCAGAGTGGCTTTCACTTTGCTGCTTTTTACAGTGATTACGCTTCTCTTGTCTGTTTTTGCTCATTCTCAGGCTGAGATAGGCACTACAGTGCCTCTTCCTGATGCACGCTTTTGTAGTGATTTTAAGCACCACTGTGTTGTATGCAAGTCACTGTTCTAACTCCATTTTAGCTCTCGCTAATTTGGCAATAATGGTAGTCTCCAGAATGGCAATTAGTGAACAAAAGAAGGCTGCACTGTGACCTAGAAACCAGGCTTTCCTTAAACTTGTTTTCTCTTTTTTCTTTCTTCTTTTTTCAGCTACGTTTCAGTCTGCAGGGAATGGAAGCATAAGTTGCCTTACGTAGACACTACTGATGATTCTCTGTTTTCCATTTAGGAACTCACTCATCACAATGTCTTAGTTCAGAAATACCTGTGCTCTAGGGTTGCTAAACTGACCACATAGTATTAACATACCATTCTTTCTTGTGATCTTCAAATCTCTTCAGGTGCATCAGGATATGGACATACATGCGGAAGTCTTCTGTTCTTATATTGTCCTATTGCTTGTGTTAGTATCTGTGTAAAATTTGAAATCTAAAGTATTTTGTACTCTCAAAGACAAGGCATTTTGCAAGGCAAGGTCTGTTTCTCAGGATGAGGAAATAACCCCATCCTTAGCATTGGTGCAGACTTGAAAGTAACAAAGAGAGCTTGCTATTGCCCATCACTGTTGTTAGGTCTATAAATCACATGCCATTCCCTCCAAGTCTGAATGAGGATCTCTTCAGAACTAGCTTTAACTTAATGTTATTTTTAGAACAAATTACATTAATTGCATACTGTTTCAAAGGCCTCAACTAATAAAGTACACAATTAAATATACCCATTTAATAATTTTAATTTCACTGTGTGGTTTTATGTGTAAAAACTTAACTATTTTCCAGATGCTTCTGGCAAGGATTTTGGTCCTACCCTGGGATTGAAGAAGTCCAGTTCTCTTGAGAGTCTTCAGACTGCTGTAGCTGAAGTTAGGAAGAATGAACTCCCTTTTCACAGACCCAGGCCCCATGTTGTCCGTGGTCGGGGGTGTAATGAGAGTTTCCGAGCGGCCATTGACAAGTCTTACGATGGACCAGAGGATGTAGAGGAGGGTATGTTGCCAATGGTGCTGTTTCAGGGAACCACCTTCATTTAGTATTGCTGAGGGCTAACTTAGTACAATACATAAGCAAGTGATTTAGTCAAATTGAATTTGATCAAATTTAAAAAGCTGCTTATGTCTTGCTGAATGAGAGCTGTATTTGTAGTGCCCCATACAACCTTGACTAGGTTTAGTGTAAAGTCTTCACTGATCTCCTCTGGGGCAGGGGTGCGGTGGAGGAATTAGAATTAGAACTCAATCCTTAAATAATTATGTTTTTCAACTTTAAGAAGCAGCTGCCTTCTTCAGATTACACTAAAAATTATCTTGCTTATTTTACGGAGCTGTCTACAATTCCCCTTCAACTAGGAAATTCATTGCCTGGTATAGGCAAGGCAGTGTGTTGATAGCACCCTGCTGCTCATTCATTCTGTCACCATGCTCTTAAAGACCCCATTTTGGAAATAATGTCTCCTTCATCACGAACCATAAAACTGTGCTTGGATCCTGAGCCCCCAAACAGAAACAACACAGGTCTTCTTCAATCAGGCAGAACAGTTTGTCTATTTCTTCTTCAGCTATATTAAAGTGGGAAGATTCCAAGGGGTGAATGAGATCATATTTTTACTGTGTTGGTTTTATTCAATTACTACAGTCTCTAGTTGAAGCAAGAACAGGATGAAATGTTTGCAACTTGGCATATCAGTTTTCTTGAGCTGGTGGATAAGCCAGATTTCAAGCAGTGTACTGTTTTACCACGTCAGGTTTTCTTGTCAGGATTAATACTCAATAACAAGTCACTATAATAATTCTGTATTTAATTTACAGTAGAACTTTGCTTGAATTCACTAGATACGTTTAGTCTGCTTTTTACGTTATTCAATTAAATAAGTATGTTTTGTGAGTCATTTGAGCACCTTCTAGACACCTGTGCTATATTTCATGTGTTTGCATTTTGGTGGCCCCTTACTTATCCCCATTATTTCTTTCTTCTGCAGATGGTTTCTCTGATAAGAGCTCTCACTCTGGTCAAGAAGCTCAGAACATGGAATCTGTCCCTCCAGGGAACCCTGAAATAGAAGATGTTGAAACCAAAGTGAAAAAAGACAAAAAAAATAGAGAGAAAGAGAAGAAAAAAGAAAAGGGCAAAACTAAAATCAAAGAGAAGAAAAGGAAAGAAGAAAATGAAGATCCAGAAAAGAAAAAGAAGAAAGGCTTTGGTGTCATGTTGAGGTATGTCATTTTAAAAAGCAAAACAGCCAGCCGTGCTCATTATGACATGTGAAACAAATGGTGCTCTCATAAAGTAGTGGAAAAATTATTTCATTTGGACTCAAAATAATGTTTATGTTATTTAAAAAGAAAGCAGTTTATACTTTTACACCAAACTTGTGGCTGAGGCAGAAGACATTTGGCAGACAAAATGTCTTTTTGTGCCTTTGAAATTCATTCCCATATGCCAGAAAAAAAAAAATCAAGGTTTCAGGCTTAAAACAAGCATGTGTGTGGGGCGTAGGTTTTGTGGGGAATATTTCTGAGTCACATGTGACCCACTCCCATATTCAGACATTTGCCTCCTCTTCCCTTGCTTGTCTGCTTTCTTCACAGGCATTGGGAGAGAGCAGAATTGCTTGTGCTACAATAAACACATGTGACATTTGCTGCTACTGGAAACTACTAGCTATGATAAAATCTTTACTTCACAGCTTCAACCATTGTCTGCAGTGGCCCAGAGATTGTTATCCTCCCTTTTTGGCACACAATTGTTTGGATTTCCTCCAAACAGTTTTGGCTTTTGACTGGTTTCATGTCTCTGATCAGAGACTAGACAAAACTCATCTCAACATTTCCTTATTGCTGCTGTAGACTTTGGTGATATAGTCACTCTGCTTGCTGTCACCGCTGCCTCTGGTACCTGTTCAGTCTGTTGAGTAGAAAAGCGTTTAATTTAAGTGATATTTACAGTTAATATACATATGAATGAAATTTAATTGTCTCCTATATTAAGAGGTTATTTGACTATATGATCATGTGGTTACCTCTGACAAAAATACTGTTAGCTTTAGGACACTGGGCTGATGATTGGGCTCGATGATCTTAAAGGTCTTTTCCATCCCAGCTGACTCTAGAACTGATATTTCCTATCATGCTCTATTTTAGACAAGCCAGGTGAACACAGAAGCTGCAACTGTTGCATAAGTAAAGATGTATTTAACTTGTAATTAAGAAATTGTTGTGTGGCATCATTCAGTCTGCAGTGATGTTCATTAGGACACTGCTATGTAAGCTCACATTGCAACTCTCTGTTGATATGTCTCTGGAGCTGAATGGTTTGTGCTATACTGACATGAAAACTTTTAGCTGTCTTGCTTCCATATGTCATCAAAAGGAATCCATAAATTGAGGAGATATTTTCAAAAATATACAGGCATCGTTATGTGCCAAACTTGTATGATTTCAGCAGTTGTTAATGTAAGTAAGATGAAGGTACAGTCTGCATTCAAATGGGGCTCTTTAGTAATGCTGGAGAGGCACATACACCTGTGCATTGCACGTGCATTTGTGTTCATACTGCTTAAAGAAATGGGGCTTAACATGGAACTGCAGTCAAAACACTGAATAATTAGGAGAGTGACTTCAGCAGCTCTTTTTGTATATGTACAGCTTTATGTCTGTTTCCATTCATTTTAACTGTTTGGAGTGGATGGGACTGTGAGAAGAGGAGAGGTCTGACAAAAACAGAAGTCTTCTGGTTCGTGTATTGCTAGGAGAATTGATTAAATTTGAAGTGCAAGGTCTATCTTTTGGAAGCATAATGCTTGACCCAGAAAGAGCAGGGGATGACATCAGAATCCAAGGCAAGTGACTGCAGTTGACAAAAAATTCGATAACAATCAATATGCAAAGCTGAGAACAATAGGTTACCATTCTCAGTGATTCACTTTTTCAGATTGTATTTCACATTCTGGTTGTACACAATCTTTACACATCTGTTCCTTTCATACGCGTGTTTTTTATTCCATTTGTCTTCCCAGCCAACAGTGATGGTTGTTAATATTTATTTATGTGTATGGCAACACAAATGCGAATTTCTGTCCCACACCACTGAAAATCTGTACAGAGTCACAGAGATGGTGGGAAGGTGTTATAGAAGAGCTTCTAAGAGCTTTGTAAGAGCAAACAGCTTGGCTAGCATGCTTTTGGAGGTTCTTTGGCCTTGTGAGTGTTTCATCCAGAATTTACAAAATTGTTTTTCAAAACAAATTTCCTTCATGAGAAAATGGGAGACCTAGGGGACCCCCAGCCATGTCAAATTGAAAGAAGGGAAATGACCTGTAAAAGATGGAACAAAGGCAAACAGCATGGCTTTGCAAAAGAATCGGAGGGACCACATGAGCTCAAGAAGAACAAAACCAGACTGGTATTTTTTCAGGGAAAAACTGCTGCTGGTGTTGTGAAAAACAAAAACAGTGAATTTGAACACTTTTTTAAAGGAAAGAATGGGAAAAAAAATCAGTGAAAGGCTTGAACACTGAATAAATGCTAGATTCAAGAGGTATTTTTGACACTAGAGTTTTGCACTGCTGTGAAGAGTGAGGAGACTGTCAGGAGGACTAGAGATGAGACTTTGCAGTAAGAAGGCTTAAATGATCAAGTATTTTAGCAGCACGGATGGAAAGAAACAGCCAGACTTTTTTATGACACAGTGGAGATGAAACTGGCATGTTTTATTGGTAGAACATCTGCGGAAGGAAAAAAGAGGAGCTGTGTATGACAAAGTTGTGAGCTTCTGCAGCAGGCAAGGTGACTACTAATTCTTGGTGGTTTTAAGAGAAAAGTAGAAAGAAGGATTTAGAAACAGATAGAAGCTCAGTTTTTGACATGCTGAGTTTAAATTGGAAAGGAAGCCTGCCATAGGAAGCACTGGAAGTGTAAACACCATAAGGGAGCAGAAAGCTGGGTGGAGAAGGAAATCTGTGGCGTGCCTGCCGCAGATGCAGTGGTAGTTGTTTTGTGGTTCCATGAGTGGGACACTTCTCCAAAGTGAGGGATAGGGAGTGCAGCCCCTGCTGGGCTGCCAGGAGAAAATGGGCTCATAAAGCTGGTGGCAGAGGTGTGACAAGGATTTATCTACCTGGGACAGTGCAATACCATGAACTTTTAGTCTGTTCTAATGACTGCAGTCATTTGATCATGCTGAGAACCACACTGATATGTTCATATTTCTCATTTTTTTCTGGGCTGCTTTGTTCAGAGCTATTTCTTCTCTGCTTGCAGAATTGGGTTGAGGTAAGTCAGGGAGGATCATCTGTGGTGAAAGCTCCCTGGCCAGAAAAGCAACGAAAATGTTTGAGCTTTCACCAGAAAGCTCAGTGCTAATGAAGGCACACTGTACTGTCTGCAGAATGGCTAGGAGTCAGATGGGAAAGAGAACTGGAGTCTGATGTAGCTGCTAGAAACATCCCACTTGTCTGTGACAGAGGATTTGTATTATGCTATGGTCATGTTTACATCTATAGGAAGTTTTATCTTGATGATATATCCCTGTGAGTTGGGCTTTTTCTGCCTTTAATCAGTAGCAAAGCATATCAAGATACTAAGACGAACCCAAGTATTTATCTGTAGTATAAGAAGGGCCTTTAGTCTTTTGTAGCTGAGATTTTTGAACATATTGGAATTGCTTCTGCATTGGGTTTTTGCTTCTTTTTTTCCCTTTTCATTTTTTTTTTTTTTTAAATTTAACAACAGAAAATAGCAAAGCTGTTAGCAGTTGCTAACAGATTTCACTTAGTGCCTCATCTGTTGCTCAGCTGCTATTTACTTGTAGTTCCTGGTCTTTTTTTTTTTTTTTTTTTTTTTTT